GCTGACAAACCTAGAAACATAATCGGGGCGAACCGGGATTCGAACCCACAATCATAGGTTTCTGGCGTGCCCAAGGGACGCAACTCTGCACAGCGAATCGCGGCGCCTTGGACGACTGGGCCACCCGTGCCCCCTTGAGGGAAGGAGCTGATTTTTCAAAATAAGATAGTAATGAAAACGGTTTGTAGCGGAGATGAGTGTAGTAATTTGTTTATTAAATCGCGTAAGGTTTGCACACGATCTAACTCAATGTTGACCACAAATGTCACAAGTATGTGAGTGGCAGATGAACTGAACGGTCATAGCTGGCGATTCGACCATAGAATGTTTCTCCAATGGGAAACCTGTCCTTGAGATCAACAATCTATCATGATTTTATTATATCCGAATCACAAATATCGTAAATAATTAATGTTAGAAACTTTTAAACGAATATTCTAGCCGACTAATGATATATGTGTGAAGGCAAGGGAACACAAGTACTAATGATATATGTGTGAAGGCAAGGGGAACACAAGTGACATAAGAGCCATGTGATATTGGCCCTTTAATTTCATGCTGATCATTTGAATTTATATCGGATTTTATGGTTTATTTCCTCCAAATGAATACGATATATACTTTTTACTTGTTGCTTATTCTCAAGAAAGACAAGGATAATGTTGTGATCAAATCCGTAACCCATTTAACCCTAGCCAGCTGCCGTTAGAGCCTGGCTGCCCTTCATGAGTGAGTGAGTGAATTTGGTTTTACGCCGCTTTTAGCAATATTCCAGCAATATCACGGCGGGGGACACCAGAAATGGGCTTCACACATTGTACCCATGTCGGGAATCGAACCCGGGTCTTCGGCGTGACGAGCGAACGCTTTAACCACTAGGCTACCCGACCGCCCCTTGCCCTTCATGAACCGTTTGTCGTTGGTCCACAGGACCCCTGAAGATCCGCGGAAGAATAGGTCTTCAGCAACCCATGCTTGCCGTAAAAGGCGACTAACGGGATCGGGTGGTCAGGCCCGCTGACTTGGTTGATGCATGTCATCGATCCCAATTGCGTGGATCGATGCTCATGATATCGATCACTGGATTGTCGTTTGAAGACTCCATTATTTACAGACCGCCGTCATATAGCTGGACTGTTGCTGACTGCGGCGGGATACAGCAGAGAAACAAACAAACAAACCTTGCGAAAAGATCAGTGATACAAGTTACCAGATTCGGGCCCCGCAAACAAACACTTTAGACCAAATAATCACAGATGTTTTGAACGGTGTCAACAATATCAAAGCGAGGAGGTCATTCGGAAGTTAAAACGCATTGATACAAAGTTAAAGTTCATAAATTGTTTTATTGCTTTCTTTTCACGTAATGCCAAGTGGTGTCTCTATGACAACAGGACAGCGTGCATGCATCGCCCAACATGGTGGGCACATCAAATGTTGATCCACAAAATGTACACGCCCGAAATTAATTTTACACGCATGTATATAGTATATGCAAATATCAAATTTCTTGGCGAAGAAACATGATCTTGATTTAGGCTGTTCGATTCAGAGAAGCGATCAAGTTCCATTCGCTTGTTGAATCCTGTGTCTAGTAATATTGTGTGTGTCGGAGGTCGTCCAACCCCTGAATCATTGCCCAAGAATCATATCGTTGTTTAGTTGATTGTGCATCCCCAACATGACTCTTAAAGGGCAAGTTCACACGGAAATGAACCAATTTTTCTTGTACTTTTTCCACATTAAAAGTGTTAACATAGAAGTGTCATAGACAAAAATATAAAAACATCATATTTAATTAACATATTTTTTGCATTAAAACGATTTATATTTTTCACATTTACCAAGTGTTCTATTTCCATAACAAAAACACCATGGCTTATGCCCCTTGCAATATGACGTCATTGGTGCCAATTGATAAACATTATGACGTCATCATGCTTTGTTAGAGCCGCTTCACGTGGTGTAGGTACAGTTTTGTGATACTAGCGTCTCAGATGCCAGCCAGAATTGTGTTATGCTGAATCACTACTGCGTCGGAGTGTGTCGTAGACCATGTTGTTTTACCGCAAACTGGTCCTTGATATCTTTTGCGTTGAGAACAGACAGGGACCCAGTTGAATTGGCACCAATTACGTCATAATCTAAGGGGGATAACTCAGGCCTATTTCGCTCGTAAAACGAAGGCCTCATAACGGCATATCATTTTAACACTATTGTGAGCTTCCTACTTTCACTGTGAAAAAAAATTAGTGTATATTTTCAAACACAGATACTAATTAATTCTAAAATTGCGTTTTGTTTAGAAAAAGAAAGAAAGTGATTTTTGCGTGTACACTTCCCCTTTAAGGACATTCAGGAGAGGAACATGTTTCATCCTATCTCGGAAAGAAATTCTGCAGAAACGATCAAGAATCATATCGTTGTTTAGTTGATTGTGCATCCCCAACATGACTCTTAAGGACATTCAGGAGAGGAACATGTTTCATCATATCTCGGA